GCTTGTGGGAATTACATGGATAAATACAAAATACAGATAAAAACAAAAACAAAAATGAGAAAGGCACTTCCCAAATGCCGGCTGGGAGAAATCCCAAGCGGGAGAAGGCAGCGGCCCAAAGGCCTGGCCCGATCCGCTCAGATGCAGGAAAGACCTGCACGGTGGAAGAACCCGGGTGGGTCCCATCCCAAAGCTGGGATGGGTGGAAAGTCAACACCCAAAACTGATACCATGGAAGGGCAGCTAAGCAATATTGCGGCTGCCCAACCTTCCGGTGAAGCTGCGGGTGATGGCTTGCCATCAACCAGTGTCCAAGCCAAAAAATTTAGTTATGCCAAAAAGAGGAGTGCTGAGCACATACTCCGTCGGCAGAACGCCAGCACAAAAGTCAGTCCAACAGCAGACTGGCTGAAAAAGGTGGAATGGGCCTCGGCGGTGCAGCCCAATTTTAGTGTGGAGGCACAGAAGGTGGCTGCACAACCGAAAAGGCAGAGCTCGCAAGACACGCCCGGACCGGCCGCAAAGCGCTCCAGAGTGATACCAAACGTATCTTTCGCGCAGATTGCCAAGGAGAGGACGCTGATAGGCGTTCTCGACAACGGCAGCGTGGAGGAAAAATACCCAGAAGCCAATGGAAGTGGGTGGAAGCGGCACTGGCCGACCGCTGCTTCGAGCTTCTCGAGAAGGATCCCGGGCCACCTCCAGTCTGCAAAGACATGGGATGGTTCCAGGAAAGCATTAAAGTGATAGCCTGCGAAGATGAGCGCTCTGTGAAGCTATACAAAGCTGCAGTGGTGCAAATCGGAGAAGTCTACGCTGGGGCGAAGCTCGTCGCTGTTGACTGGAGCGAGGTGCCCAGTAGACCAAGGGCTCGCATATGGGTGCCGGCCACTTTTAAGGAGCCCGAGCGGATCCTCAGGATGTTGCAGAGGTGCAACCCAACACTGCCAACCTCAGACTGGAAGGTGGTCAAAGTTGAGGCATCAAAAGGCCCCACAAACCAGGCAGTGATAATCCTGAATAAGGAGTCACTAGCCCCGATCGAGGCAGCCAAGGAAGAGCTCAACTTCGGGTTCAGCTCGGTGACCATGAAGGTCTACAAGTCGGATGCAGCGGCCGAGGCGCGCCCTGTCAACAACCCAGTTGAGCGGGACGTTGCCTCGGAGATCGAGGCACCCGACGTAGACCCGGAGCCGGCCCTGGAGAGCTACTCCTCGGAGACGGAGCTGATGCTCGAATTTGAGGCGTTGTGTCGTGACGAGATTCTCGACGACTCTGACGCCGACATAACAGTGGTGGAGAGTAACTCTAATGAAGTCTCTGAGGCCTCTGCAGATAAATCTCCACCACTGTAAAGCAGCATCCGCTGCCCTAATACTCCACTTAGACGCGAGCGGAGGGGATATAGTCCTATTCCAAGAGCCTTGGGTGGTAGGAGGCAAGGTCTGTGGATTAGCGACGAAGGACTACAAGCTGATTGTAGCCCAAACTGAAGGTCAAATTAGAACCTGCATTCTAGCAAGAAAGCACCTAAAGATCTTTCTGCTCCACAATTTTAGCAATGGCGACAACACGGTGGCTAGCCTAGAGCTACAGGGGACACGCCTGAACTTGGTGTCGTCCTACATGGCTCACGAGGAAAGTGATCCTCCCAGTGACCTCGTTCGCAAGATAGCCAGCGACAGCGAAAGGTCGGATACAGGCCTAATAATAGGCTGCGATGCCAACGCTCACCACACCCAGTGGGGGAGCTCGGATACAAATGTAAGGGGTGAGTCACTTTTCAGCTTCATCCCAAACTCCAACCTAGTTATTGGTAATCGGGGTAACGACCCCACATTCATTATAAAAAACCGTCAAGAGGTTTGTTGAGAAATTAATCGCTTAGTTTTAGGTCAATATTCATTCCTATAGTATTTGCCCTAATCATATGCTCGCTATTGTTTTGCCCGCTGTTCTTATTGCTTATGTCCAAAAACTTAACTGTAACGTTCTGTAACTGTTCTCACACGTATAGCCAAAACGCGCAGCAGCACACGAAGACATCGATGTGCACCGTCTTGGTATTGGAGTGTCGCATCGCGTGATCTTCTAATTCCCTTATGGGCTCGACTTCATTTGTGGACTTGAGTCAGTACAAAATTATATTTACGAGTACCCGCACGCGTAATTATTACCGCCCCGCTCTTGTCGCCCCCGCTTTGTATATAACCCGCTGTGCAAATAACATTTAAACCACTAATATATATGAAAAAAAAAAAAAAAAATAGATAAAGATTAATACAGTCCAGTCATTCTCAACCATAAGAAATTTTTGGTCCTTCGAGCCTAATCTCCGGCTAATTGTATTTGAAATATATTGAGTGATATTGCTGTTCGTCATGAAGACTTATGTACATCGCATAATTCAGCAGCGTGGTGCGTACAAATCCCAACGAACTCGCGCATCTACGGAGGCTCAGGAGTTTGTACAGTCGTGCACGTCTGTGCAAACATTGGAACACAAATTGGACCGATTGGCTGCAACTTTCAACCGTTTTATGGAGCTCTCTGAGGACCTAGTTCAATATAATGAGGAAGACGGATTTGTGGATATCGCCGAATATGAGGAAAAGTTTTATAGTGCCCATGCCGTTCTCACTGGAGCCATAAGTGAGCGGAGCAGTCACGATAATGGACACGACTCTTCAAATCTACTGCTATCTAGTACTGTGGAACGTCTATTTGAGGGACATACACAACTTTTGGAGAAGATTCGGGACTCAGCGCGACCCGCTCAGCTGCAGTTCGAGAAAATACGCCTTCCTACATTTTCTGGAAGATACGAAGATTGGTGTCAGTTCAGTCATCTGTTCTTAGGCTCAGTCGACAAGAAGAGTAGTCTTTCCAACTGTCAAAAGTTTCATTATTTAAAGTCGTATCTAGATGGTGAAGCTTTGTCTCTAATTAAACATATTCCCATTACTGACGATAACTACCAGGACGCATGGGAGAGGCTAAAAAATCGTTATAATAAAAAATCACTGATTGCGCGGTCGTTCTTTCAAAACTTTCTTTCGCTGCCAACTGCCAAAGGTTCAAACATAATCGAGTTGCGTAACATAGTCGACACCGCGGACGAGAGTATACGTGGTCTACACGCGCTGAAATGCGACAGTCGGGATGTATGGCTTATCCATATCTTGCTCTCAAAACAAGACCCTGAATGCAAGGAAGCTTGGGTGCCATCCAGTGAATCGTACACGGAAAATGTGACCATAAATGACCTGTTCGCTTTTCTCTTCGCCCGGTTTGATGCGCTTGATGCGTCAAGATCTAACAGTACTTCATGATTCTCCCAAACGTCGTGCAGTTTCTCATCATGTAGACGTGCCAACTACGTCGGTTCGTGGTTGCGTATATTGTCACGGGCCACACAGTCTGTATGTGTGCGCTCAATTTAAAGCTATTAACGTTGTGGATCGTCGCACGTTTGCAATGGAGGGTAATTTGTGCTTTAACTGCCTAAGTCGATCTCATCAAGTAAAGGATTGTAATTCCACAAATACGTGCCGTCTGTGCAAGTCCAGGCACCACACTCTTGTCCATCCAGAAAAGATCCACACCACCCCGAGTGTTGCTGTCAATACATCCGCTGACCCAAACTTGCGCTTGCCCATGCATGCTGCTGAGGCTGATCCTGCCGTGGTCAGCCATCATACATTGGAGAGAGGAGTATTGGCCACTAGTCAAGCAATATTGCCAACAATTTTAGCCACTATAGTCGACTCCTGGGGCAACGAGACAACCTACAGGATATTGATGGATACTGGTTCGACGATAACGATGGTCTCCGAGTCGTTTGTTCAACGGACAGGGTTGTTGCGCACGCATGCTCGTATACCAGTTGTTGGTCTAGGTGCAAGCCCGGCTGGGGTTACTCGAGGTCGCGCCACGTTCACGCTGCTCTCGCGCACAAGCACAGCATCAGTGGTGGTAACAGGTCTGATTATGAGTACTTTAACCTCCTCGATTCCAGCACAGAGGATTGAGTCGAACACCCCGATGTATGAAAAGATTTGTGATCTACCCTTAGCAGACCCTACATTTGGGACACCAGGCGAAATCGATCTGATTTTAGGAGCTGATCAACTTTGGAACATATACACTGGAGAACGCAAAGAGTTTGGTTTCGCATATCCTATTGCACTTCATACTAATTTTGGTTGGGTTATTACAGGCAGCTACCATCTCAGTATTAATGCACATACAATTATTTCCAACACTGACGTAGATGTTTCTGGACTCTCTGTCGTAACCACAGTTGGTTCTGTTGTCGTTTCTGATGCTTCCCCGGTCGTTTCCTCCCTAAAGAAGACGGTAGTGGTGTCTATGATGGAAGTTGTTTCAGCGATGCTGCTTGATGTCGTCATCTCGGCCATGCTTGTGGTTGAGCACTAGCTCATCACGCTCACGAGGATTTGGATACCTTAGTCCGATCGTTCATGGACATGGACCAAGTTCAACCAAGTAGCGCTACCATTGACGCTACTGATCCCGCTGAAAAACACTTCGTTCAAACGCATTCCCGCAGAGACGATGGAGTGTACGTCGTCCAATATCCATTCAAGGATTCCGCTCCGCCGATGGGATCCACATTGCCGCAAACCTTATGCCGCTTTTCTTCTCTCGAACGGAAATTTCGAAAGTTTCCGGCACTCAAACAACAATATGTGGACTTTATGGAGGACTACTTACAACGAGGACACATGGAGTTGATTCCTTCTACTACCGTAGCCGAGGATCTCGCCAGTCACAATTATTTAGCACACCACGCAGTATTAAAACCAGATAGTACCACTACAAGATGCCGAGTTGTGTTCGATGGCTCTGGGGAAGACTGCAAGGGACATTGATTCAATTCACGACTACACATTGGACCACCTATTCAAAGGGATTTACTTGGAGTCTGTTTACGGTTCCGTCAGCATCGTTACGTGTTCTGTACGGACATTGAGAAAATGTTTAGAGGCATCCTAGTTTCAGACGAACACACGCAGTACCAACGTATCGTCTGGCGAAAGAAGGAGACTGCTACACTTGATCATTACCGACTACTGACCGTGACGTATAGTTTAGCTTCTTCACCGTTTTTGGCTGTTAGAGTTCTCATTCAAATCGCTCAAGATTATGCCGAGTTGTATCCGAATGCTGCTGCGCTGCTGGTAAGGGACGCGTACGTGGATGATATTCCTACAGGCTGCGATAATATCAAGGAACTCATTGCACTCAAGGATGAATTGATTTTTTTATTGAGCCGAGCTCAATTCGAACTTCGAAAATGGAGTTCAAACTGTTGGCCACTATTACAATCGCTGCCAAAGGACATTTGTGAGTATCCCCTTGAAGGTCTAGAAGAAGAGAGCCCAGCTCAATATGTGAAGGTTCTTGGAATACGCTGGGACCCGGCTGCTGACAACCTTTCCTTCAAGCTGACCATTCTCGACGCCACAGCTGCTCTGACAAAACGGATTTTGCTGTCGGAGCTTGCCAAGATCTACGATCCTCTGGGTTTGCTTGCCCCCACCACTGTATTTCTAAAGGTTCTCTTTCAAGATAGTTGGCTGAGCTCGGTCGAATGGAACGAGCCACTACCGCCGCAGCTATGCTCACGTTGGAAACAGTTTGTAGCAGAAGTTCATTTATTGGAAACGTGTCGCATATCTCGCTACATATCCTCACCACTTCAAGCAACGGAGCTGCATGGATTTGCCGATGCGTCGTCTCATGCATACGCCGCTGTTATTTACAGTCGCGTGAAACTCAATAAGGACTATGTTGTCAGAATGATCGCCGCAAAAACCCGTGTTGCGCCCATCAAACCTGTATCCATTCCGCGGCTCGAATTGAATGCAGCCCATCTTTTTTCAAAATTGATGTCTCTGGTTAAGCAAGCACTATAACTATTCCTATTTCCAGTACCTCATGTTGGTCTGACTCAGAAGTTGTGCTGCATTGGCTCTCATCACCTCCTCGGACTTGGAACACTTATGTTTGCAATCGGACTGCTGAGATTCTAGATGCTTGTCCACGTAGTTGCTGGCAACACATTCGCACTGGGCACAATCCCGCGGACTGTGCATCACGCGGACTTTTACCGAGGGATATTGTAGACCATCAACTGTGGTGGAATGGACCACCGTGGCTTTCACAATCACGGCTCACTTGGCCACCTGCTAAGGCAAAGTTTGCAATTTCGACTGAGGAGGCTGCGCACATGGAAGTTAAGGTCAAGCCTCAAGTTAATCTACACATTTCCGATGAAGGAAATGATCTTCAATGTATGTGGCCCCGGGGTTTTCCGTAGTTGTTAGAATGATCCAGGACGACAGTGTTTATTATATTTAATGTTTTATTTGTATTATTATTAGATATTTGCTCTGGTTACAATGGGTGTATGTTTAAAACGAGGTTATAATATTGGATATAATAGAATGCTGCGCTTTTGCTTCTTACGTGTTTTCGAGAGAAACTTTGGCACCGAACTGTCTGGCGTCGATCGTTGAACTCTTGTTCTCTTTATTCTTTCGACTGCCGCTTCTGGTCTCTCTATCTGTTACGGGCGCTGTTAGCTCAACAGATTCTGCTGCTTTCTGTGGCGTCTCACCAAATCCCACAGTCGGCCCTCTTGACGTTAAGTTCGACCCGAACTCCTTCATAAATTCCGCAACTGTAGAGGTCTTAAAAGGACCTTCTCCTACTTTCTCTACATCATACCGGCCATGCTTGCGAATCTTGACCACTTTATAGGGCCCCAGAAACTTCCCCTTAAACTTCAAAAAAACACCATATTGGGTACGCCTGATCGCTACTAAGTCGTTGATACTATATTCCTTTTCATCCTTTCTCTTTTTGTCAAAGGCTCGTTTATTCTCTTCCTGCAATGACTGAATATTGTCCCTAGCATCTTTCCTTAAACGCTCACGCTCTTCATCTAGCTCATCTATGAGGGACTGCTGCACCAATTCTCTCAACTCAGCTATACCAGTTATACGCATGTCTACTCCGGTTAGCAGTTTGAATGGAGTTACTTTGGTGCTCCTAGGCTCAATGTTATTAATCATTTGCTGCACTCTACCTACGTGCTTATACCAATTACCTGGACTTTCCAAACTCATCTTAGACAGCATCGGTACTACTATCTTGTGTATTCTCTCGACCTGTCCATTTCCTCGAGGTACGCCTGTAGTTATTAAAAAATGCTGTATCTTCTGCTTCTCACAGTACTCCTTGAATAAGTGTGATTTGAAAGCCGCGCCACGGTCCGTTACAACTCTGAATGGGTTACCGAACGATACTGCCTGCCTCTCTAAGCAATTCACCACCTCATCTACTCCACTGCTACGTGTCGGATATAACCAAACGAAAATGCGTCAACAACAGCCAAAATGTGATTATATCTTTTCTTTGTAATCTCCATCGGTCCGACGTGGTCTATGTGATAGGTAACCAATGGTTTATCACCTTTATCAATGGGATTTAAGTACCCTTCTTGTCTGCCTGCTTTGGTATTAACTAAAATACACTCCACACAACCGCCTACTACTTTGTCTACTTTATCATTTAACTTAGGAATGAAATAAGACTTCTCTATTAAATCTTGAGTTTTCTTCACTGAAAAATGTCCTTGTCTGTGTGCAATCTGTATTATCTCCGTTTCCATTTGCGATGGAACTACTATCAACTCTCGGTTTGGGTCTTTAAACAGTACTTGATTTGCTATATAATAATCCTCGTATCCCCTATTTTCCACCAGATTCCTAATTACCTTGGTCCATTCATCTGCACACTGTGCTTCCTTAAGCCTGTGCATCATACTCTCTGTCAGCATGTAACAAGCAGTCCGGCTGAGTGCGTCTACGTGTCGCATCTTCGATCCAGAACGATGTTCTATTGCATAGTTGTAATCTTGCAGATACATCGCCCACCTAGCTACTCTCAATGGAACGTCTTTCTTTTTCATTGTCATCGCGAATGCGTTACAGTCCGCAATGATTTTGAATTCCAGTCCTAGCACATACACCCGCCATTTAGTTTAAGCCGCTATCACCGCTAGAACCTCCAGTTCGTATGAATGATAGTTTTCCTCACATGGCGTTGTTTTCTTACTCATATACATTACTGGGTGCAACTGATCATCTTCTAGGTCCTTTTGTAGTAGTACAGCTCCAAACCCCAATTTAGATGCGTCCGTGTGTATCTCTGTCGACCATTTAGGATTGTACAATCTTAACACTGGTTTGCTCGTCAGAGCTGTTTTCAACTGCTCAAATGCTACTCGCTGCAAGCGAACTTAGCATCTTTCTTTAGTAAATCTGACAATGGCCTGGCTATCAACGCGTATCCTTCAACGAACTTTCTGAAAGACGAAGTTAACCCAATGAATCTTTGTATAGCCTTTCTATCCTTAGGTATAGGAAAGTTTGCTACACACTGCGTTTTCTCGTCGCTGGGTGTTATAGTTCCATTTTCCATAATATACCCCAAGAAATCTACCTTAGTTTTCAAAATTTGTCCTTTACTCCAGTTTATGTTTAAACCATTCTTTTCTGCTACCTCCAGCACTCTTTTCAACTTCTCTAAACCTTCCTCAACATATATACTCAGTATAATAATATCATCCATATATACTACCGCGTCACCGTTCTGAATTAGTTCTCTCATTACCGCTACTATGAAACGGGTAAAACTTGCTGACGAATTCGAAATACCAAACGGTACAAAAAGAAACTCATATTGTCCTTTCTGTGTTACAAACGCTGTATACTTTTGAGACTGTTCTTCGACCGCTACGTGGAAATACCCTACTTGCAATTTATCGATAACATCCTGCATCTGTACCATCGGAAAGTAATCCCGCACAATTTTCTCGTTCAACTTGCGATAATCGCAGCATAAACGTTTCTGTCCATTTTTCTTTGGCACTAATACAATCGGAGAGGTATATTCCGATGTACTGGGCTTGATTATCCCTTGCGTCAACCACTCGTTGACCTGCTCGTCTACTATGTTCTGCTCGCTATAAGCTATACGTCTGGGATGTTGATACACAGGTAAATCATCGGTTAACACAATTTTCATCTCTATAGGGCACTGTACATCTCGCCTCGGCTTGTATTCCTCAATTATCTTTCTTATTTGACCTCTCTGTGAATAGGGAAAATGCGACAAATCAATATCAATGGTCTCATTCTGCTCAAAACTCACCATACACAAACTCCTAAACTCATTCATCAACTCCATGCATGAATTAACATCTTCTTTTTTATCTGCATGTTCCTGAACCTTTCCTGCAGCACCCAATTTACTTTCTGATCTGAGAACAAAGGACGTGCCATCCCTTGTCACCGTCATGTCTACACTCTCTAGAAGAGTTATACCCAAGATAGCATCAAAGGCCATGTCTTCGTCCGCAATCACATGAAATTCTACTATTAAGTCAATATCATCAATCTGTACAGGTATGGTGATGCTTCCAAGAGTTATAATTTGAATTTCACCAATTCCTGTTAGACATTTTTCACGTCCAGCCAATCTTTCTTTACCGATCTTCAAAAACACACTTCTGCGTAATAGACACAAGTCGGCACCTGTATCGACTAGTCCTTTAAACGCTACTCTTCCATACCTTACCGATTTCAACTCTAATCCGGAAGACGTGAACGTGCTTGATGGCTTAGTCATACCTTTCTCCACAACTAGATTGGTTGCCTTTTCCTGTCTAACTATCATCTCGACCTTGCACTGAGCAGCCCTATGTCCCAACTGGTAGCACCTGAAACACCTGTTATCTTTCTTTGGACAGTCCCGTTTAATGTGCGAGTCATCTCCGCAATTATAACACTTTTTAAACTTTTCAGCACCTTTCACTTTCAGCTTACACCTGAAAACTGCGACAAACTGCCTTCTACATCTTTCAATGTAAACCAGGATCTACCTGAACTAACCATGTCTGCTTGTCGTATTGGACCCGATCCACTTGGATTTTCATCTCGCCTTTCCCTTCTACCCTGCTGTGCAGTATTCGAATCTGCCGTTGTAAAAGACAATCCTTCATTAACGTCCTCTTGGATCTCTTCTTCATCACTCACTTCATCGTTATTCTGATTTGTCTGAATACCATAGTGAGCCAGCAGTCTGTCTTGCAACTCAGCTTTTCTTCCGTTTCTGTTTAAACCTATTTCGGCCAATTTCTCACGCAACCCTGCCACAGCCAATGCCAAAATCTCGTCTCTATTCATTTTTACAAACTTTTACAACAATTTGAAAGAATAAGAAATGGATCTATGCCGTTCGCTCGGCTAAATACAGTTTGAAAATCTCAGCGCTTCTTAGACCTTAATACTTAACAGGTTCTGTTCCTCAAACTTTATGTTAATTATTATGTTATGTTATTGAACATGCAAACTTAACACTATGTTAAATGACTCTGCTAAACCACAGCACAATTGCAAAATGCAATCTGTTATTCTTCCAATACAACAACAAAATTTTTGCCTGCCTGCTTTTCCAGGTTGTTTGTCGGTTCCTCTTTGTCAGTTGAAATTCGGGAACAGACTTATCTCGCTTTGGAATATTCCGCTGCCACTCACCCACACCAACTAATTCCAGAATTTTCGTCGTCCTCTCACCAACACAGCTCCAGAATTGTCGTCGCCACACCAATACAGCACCGGAATTGTCGTTGGTCTCTCTCTCTCACCAACACCGCTCCAGACTTGTCGTCGCCACACCAATACAGCTTTAGAATTGTCGTTGGTCTCTCTCTTTCACCAATACCGCTCCAGACTTGTCGTCGCCACACCAATACAGCTTTAGAATTTTCTCGTCTTCTTCTCGCCGAAATGATGCTCCTGAGTTTTCCAACGCTAAGCACTTGCTGTTTGCCAGCTTCTTTCCCTGA